ATTGAATTATCAGTGAATTTAAACTGTCGAAAAGATCGTTAATATCGTTAACAAATTCTGCTGTATGAATAGCCTCAGCAGATATACCGGTACTGGGATTACTGACCATTGACTCAATCTCATGAGCTACTGTTGCACTTGTTTGTGATGCAATTTTAACTTTCATTTTAATGTTACTACGACTGAGATTAAAATGATGGTCATGTAACTTTCGTAAACCCTGGAAGCGTTTCGATTTGTTTATTTTGTAACATTGAACTATATGATTAAATTTAACTGTTTTATTCTGTGAATATTGTATGTTATATTTATATAAAGCATTTCTTGTATTCTTCAGTAAATGAGGAACATCAAAAATAGGAATAATTTCTTGACCATTAACATTGAAAGTAGATTTATTTGGTGACTTTGTCTGATGGCTGATCTATTAGTGGAGCCCTGATCGCAAACTGTACAAATTACTGTCAATCCACAAGATTGTAAAGCTGAAATTATTTCAACCAATAAAACTTTTAAATCACGTGTTTTTACCACATCCTTAGTAAAATAATATGCAATAGGTTGCTTCCAGTGCTTACTAATACCTTGCACCAAAAACACTAAAGCGTGATTTGCTACCACATTTTGTCTACCCAGGGATCCAAGATCTACATATCCGATTACTTGGTCTTTAGAAATATCATAACTTAAATTAGCAGACAATGCTATTTCATCGAATACTAAACAACAAACCCGATCTCTTGAATTCATTTTCTTTGCACGTTCTGATAATAATTTACATAAAAGTTTTTTATTGATTCCTACTTCTAAAGGTATTTGGCCTAAATATTTTCTTATGGAAGATTTAGAAGGTAGTACAAAAAATTTTTGTAAACATCGATAGCACCTAGGACCTCGTTTATAAATAGCTAAAGCAAGTGCTTTATTTTCTGAGTTATGTATAGGACGTTTCTTTTTGCAGTTAGTAATTTGTGATTCAATAAATTTTACTCCAATAGGATAGAGACGTTGAGATAAATCTGTGAATAACCTTGAATAAGTGATATTACAAACACTGGACAAATTATTTCTACCCTTTAATAATTTTGTTTTTCATTTTAAAATCTGATTTTTTTGTTTACGGTCTAAATAATAAAACTTTTTATTTTTATCTGAAAGATGAGACACTCTTTTTACATTGAGAGATTTTAAAAGCGTTTTTTGTTGTCTACTATTCGACTTACAAGTGAAGTTTTGACAAAATGAAGTATTATGTGAAGTACTTACACAACCAGTATTTGAATCTACTTTATAAGGCATGGAGTCGTCAACAATAATAGTCCTAGTACTTGCAGTGGTATTTAGAGATGGCAATTTGGAATAAGTGTATTTTGGTTTTTTAAATGGTGGTAAATGGTCTGAAAAATCATCTAACATTGATGTTTGGCATTTATTAATTTCGGCATTTTCTAATGTTTCACTAACAAACTGTTTAACTGACTCTAGAGTAGTTTTCAAGTAAATGTTACTATTAAGATAATCTAAATGTGATGATATATTATTTAATTCACAAAATATTGTTGGCACTGCATTTTTGTTGAGCTGAGGCTATTCTTCCTACTATTTCTAAAACATTTTAATTCAAAGTGATCTTCGCAAAAATAACATTTTTCGTTGATGAAGTTAAAATCTGGTTTACATAATTTGCGAACTGATTCTATCCAAACCATTTCCCTGTCTGCAGTAACTCTGAAAAAGCTTTTATTTCTGTAAGAAGTATCTGTGGTATATAAATAATATGTGTTCTTGCAGTTTGGTGCACAACAGTGATGTGATTTTCTATTAAAAAGTAAAACAAGCAAAAGCAGTAAGACAATTCAGATGAACGATTCAACAATTATAATTATCTTCTTGCGTTACATTAAATGTTAGTCTAAAACAGAAAACAATTATTATCAAAAGCACTAGCGCGGTAACTTACGAGTTAGTTAGTTATAATACAACATAGAGAAGAAATAACCTCAAACCTAATCCACAGAACACATCCCCTTTGTGACCTAATCTTCAATACACGTATTCTTTCGTATTCAGTGATTAAAATCAGTAAAGAACCAATCATGATTAAGAATTTTAAAAATGCTGTATTATGATTGGCTAGTTACCGATTGCAATCAGTTTGTTCAGCTTCCGCACGAAAGAATACATGTAATATCATCAAATTTTTAATTTTTCCAGCGAATTCTATAGGTTCTAATATCAATATTACTTTTCTGTTCAAGTTATTATTACAGTTTTCGATACATAAATAGTGCTAACGATGGCAGTGTTTTCCGATTGTGAGGTGGCGCTCGTACTTTCATGATTCTGCTCTTCCTATCCTTTTCACGGGTCTTATTTATTTAGTCATATGCCTAGACCTAAAAATTATATGATTATTATCTCTGCTTGTATAATTTTCGCTTTAAATTCATGAGTTGGAATCCTGACAATGTTAATTGAGGCACATGTCTGTAATCAAACAAAGCTGTAAATGGCAGAGATTATGTTCAGCATGGACAGTTAATACTTCCTGGGGAATGAAGCGGTTATAGAGCTTTTACGCCATTACTATGTAAATAAGCAGTTTTGCAGTTAATCTCGACTGGAGATTTGATGCTCTGCAGAATGCGCTACGTTCAGCATAATGTCTTTTGCAATTAGTTTGCAGCTTATTCGGTATAGGTTTCGACTGACTTTTAGTAAAAGTTATTGTTAATACTAAAAGACAGAAACATTCAACATAATTGGTTTTCAAAACTAGATTGCCATAGCACCATAGTATAGTAATGGGTTATGCGAATGCATAAATAGTAACTTATAACTATTAAGTAAACGTAAATACTGAATATGTCCTATACTTAAAAGCGGTGATCCTGGGAATTTGATGAATTATCGTCCTATTGCAATTTTGTCCAACTTCGCAAAGGTTTTCGAGATGTCTCTATATACTCTAATCTTTAGTATTGTCAAGGGTTATATTTCACCAAACCAACATGGATTTGTTCCGAGACGATCTACGGTAACCAATTTAGCTCAATTTACTCAGTATACAGCATATCATATGGATAACAAGGGACAAGTTGATGTGGTGTATACAGACTTCTCGAAGGCCTTTGACAAAGTTAATTATGGCATACTTCTTAATAAGTTAAGTTTATTTGGTTTAAACGATAATCTGATTCTTCTCATTAAATCCTATCTTTCTCAACGTGAACTATATGTTTCATACAACGGATTTAAATCTGAAAATTTTATAGCGACATCTGGAGTACCCCAAGGGTCAAATTTAGGACCACTTCTTTTTATTTTATTTATTAATGATTTATCTCTGTCTTTAAAATCGAATCATCTATTTTTTGCCGACGATTTGAAGTTGTTTCTCAGTGTATCTAATTTGGAAGATTGTTTAATACTGCAAGAGCAGGTAGATCTTGTAAGTAGATGGTGTGAGAATAATCAATTACCTATTAACATAGATAAGTGTAAGATCTGCTCGTTTACATCCAAAAAAGAACCATTAGTATTTGGCTACACCCTTGAAAATGCGTTACTAGCACGTTGCGATAATGTTAAGGATTTAGGTGTAATATATGATAATAGACTGTCCTTCACTGATCATATCAATACAATTATAAATGCAGCTAATAGAGCTTTGAGTTTTATAGTCAGAAATTCAAGTTCTTTTAATGACGTTACTGCATTGAAGTGCCTGTTTTACTCATTAGTTCGTTCTAAATTAGAATACTGCAGCCTTATATGGTACCCTTACTACCAGATACATACTAACAAGCTTGAAAAAGTTCAACGTCGTTTTCTTAAATTTTTAAGCTTTCGAATTGATGGTTATTATCCAAATAGAGGATATGAACATAAGCTGCTGTTAGATCGATTCGAAATGCAGTCTTTGCAGAATAGAAGAATACTCAATAGTTTATCTTTCCTATTTAAACTTTTTCATGCCAGAGTTGACTCAGCATATCTACTGGGNCTGAAAATAGCAGTTAATTTACGTATCGGATCGTTAACGTGAAAATATAAACATTAGACTGTTGACTGTTCCTGTTATACGTTTTTTAAGCTTTTGAAGAAGAAACTACATGGAATTTTAAAAATTATATCTGCTTTTATAATAAAGGAATGGTAATTCTAAGATTGTTTAAGCTTATTAACTAAAAATTATTGCCTACCTAATAAAAAAATTATTATTGTCCTCGATAATCTATTAATGACTAATAAAATCTTTACTCTCTTTCCTTATAAGACTGTATGTACACAAATTGGAGCCGTTCCTGAACAATCGGGCGCGAGGCCTGTTAAAATATCGCCCAGCGTGTTATTAAACAACACACCTTGAAGCGTTGGCCGCTAGAGCTAGAGCAGCACTTGCCAGGGTACCGTTTCGTGACTCACGCTGGGCGATATTTTTTGTACAAAATCCCGTCCTTAAGTAAAAGTAAATACTCAAATTCATTATATACTTAACTTTTACTAGTGCTTGGGAGTAAAGCTTGGAAAATTATCAGTAGATGTACTAGAGTCTAACCAAATTCACTTTTTACATTTCTTATGTGTAAGACAGGAACAACTATAACTAAAAAGGATGTCATTTAATTTAATCTCAACATAATACCTGCTGAAAAGTAAAAATATTGTACCAACTGCGACAAATTAACCAGGAGAGCAAAAGGTATAGGTACTGCATATTTGTTGTAATATGAGTTTATATTAGAATAAATAATAATAATAATAATGTATATCATATCACAACCAACTCAACCAGTCAGGGAAAACCACCATGGATATTTAAATTAAATGATAAACTAAGAACCTTGCTATTAAAAAAAATCGAATTTAGTTATCTTGAGAAAACCATTTATTTTGTTTCAAAGTATCACAATTTGGTTTAAAATACAATCCATGCAAAAAAGAGCGCTACTTCTAACCCCGATTTCATCCCTTCTCTCAATTCTGAAAATTTTCAGGTTGCTACCAGTGAAAGAAAACTTCCTCTGTAGGCAGGTCTTCAAGGTGAGTGAGGTACAGATCAAATTTTCTTACATGGTGTCGACACAGATATATGTAAACCGACACTGTGCAAAGATAACTCTAGCATAGGTTTTAGATCGACACTTTATATCAAAACAATAACTAAACACTTTTACTTACTATATAGCAGAAACAAGTAGTATCTCTTTCGTATTCCTATTTTTAAATATTTTACAGCTATTTTTCTCTTTTGCACCTTGTACTTATGCACATTAGTTGAATCAATTAGTTAAATAATTCCAAATTTAAAACTATTACAACAGCTAGTGCTATAATAAAATCAAAGATAAATTAATTATTTAAATCAAGTAAATGTTACTGCACGGCTTTACTTGTCTGTCTTTGTGGCTGTACAGGAGGGGATTGAAGTAAGTATGACCAAAATATTACTTAACCTTAAGGGTACGTGCACACAATACGAGAAGAAAATCTAGCTAGGAAATACGATGCGATTTTAATAAATTGTGCAAATTATAATCGAATGTCTCAGTTGTCCCAAGTGTAACTTCCTAAATTTAATTTTTTTTATTTCTGGCTTGATTCCACCGAGTGTACACGTATGCCAAGGTACAGTCAGGTTCACAAGCGATTATTTTGAATATATATTTCAAATCTGGCTAAAAATTTGGAAGGAATTATCCGACGGATTTCCCACAATTAAAATTAAATCGAAACAAAACAAACAATTGATTTTTTTGACTCGATCTTATATGAACACTACAACACAAATTTATATCAAATTTCCTACAATATAATACATTTCCAGTATCCTATAGACTGATTAGGTAGCTGTTTTTAGAGATAGTCACTTGTTTATCCGACCTGTACACCCATGGTGTCTCAATGAGAACGACACACATTATTTTTAGAAGCTTATAGAAAATCGCTAAAAATCTGTTAGAAAAATATTACATTAATCTACTTAAGTAGCCATAATATCGATTTTATGTTAAAAGTTATTAGTAACAAACTTTTCCTAAAATATATTTTTCATTTTCAGATAATACTTAAAAATTCATTCAAATACATCTATTTTTCATTCATACAAAGATTAATCACGATGTGGAGACATTTCTTATACCTATAATTGATAATTGATAAAAAATACTGTTGAGTATATATAAGTTTTCTTTCCAAGTTTTGACATCGTGAAGATCATCATCTAAAAATAAAAACAGATTTTTAGCCACCTGCGACCAAATAGTGTTAGCCCTGCACAGCATGTCTCCTTCAGCAAATTTTACCTTCTTCATAGTCATATTTCTTCTCCTTGAAAACATCACATGAAACATACATTGAACCAGTGTTAGATTATACTTAAAAACTCACTAATGATAATCTCCTTCTTTTGTTTAGGGTGCTACAAAACTGACGAAGGATGATATAGAGAGAGTATTTGCATTATACGATAGGGTAAGTAACCTACATGATTGTGAGTACTAGTCATCTTATTCGACCAACCCAACAAGTGAAGTAGCGAAAAATGTTATGGAGTATGGTTTTGTAGAATACCACCTTTGAAAAAGAATTAGTATCACTATCTTCTAAAATACTTTAAACATAGTGGTGCACTAGTAAAGCAAACTATTATTTATTGTTAAAATCCCCTGGAAGTAAACATCGCGAAATATTTGCCATGATATCTAATTTCTGGTTCTTGAATGTTGATTTTAATAAATGTGTTTGAACAAATAAATAGAATGTCTTAGTCCTACAAAAAGTTCTGTTTTTAAACTAAACTGACTAAAAACATCTCTACCCGCTATATTTTTTTCTAAAATGTAATGGTATTCCATATTAGCCTTTTAACCTATGTATTATGTCTTTGCATAACGTTGTTTTGTCAGTTAATGGTTTAATATGTTCTGGTATTTTTATTTATTCTTTTTAAATTTTACATTAAGAACGTTTTATGGTTTTACAGATAAAAATGTATTATTTTATATACATTCAAATAACTTTCAAAACAATATCTTTGCTAGTTTGCGCAGTTACACGCAAATAATATTTTTTTAGTAACTGACTTACAGTTGAGCTGTTAGATATTTATGTCATCAAGCATAATCGTATTAATTAAGATTTCAAACGAGTTCAAATTAATAGTTGTATCCATTTGTATAATGAAAACATGTTTTGTGATTTTTTGCATCATAACAACAGTTTAAAATCCACCAAAAATAAACAAACTTAACCTCGATTTACTGAAACAACAATAGAACTCACAGAAAATCCATCTGTGATAACAAAGAACATTGGAAACGATGCTAGTCAAATGTATGTATATTTTAAGCCCACAACAAACGACTATATGTCTGTCTCTTTCTCATTCACCAGGGACAATTAATAAGCTTTGTCGAAACTGGTATCCATCGCACAACACACGAAGGCGATTGCTTGTATTTTTCTATCATTAATTAATGTACGTTGATCAATAATTGAACATTTTATGTTATATTGGTGTTTGTTGATGATGCGAATGTAAAGATCCAACGGCTCAACTGAACCACATTAATACAATCTAAAAAGTTTTGGAACCGCTGACTGACGACCGATAACTTTGCTCTATTATCTATGTACAAGCATAGTGGAACGTTCAGGTTTCTGACACACAATCAGAAGGATAGGAGAGGTTAGAGATACGAGTATTATAACGTCTATGGGATTTAAACAAGGGCTTTAGCAGCTGTTCGTCCATTGTGGTACAATGATGTACCGGCAAAGTTGCCCTCTAGCCTCTATCTATAGGTATATGAATCTGAAATCTCGATTATGTTTGTATGTATCTTAACTAACAGCTCTTACTTATCAGCGTTTCCATAAGTTAGCACGATAAGCATTATTTAATAGTTACTGTATTAATGACATTCATGAAAATTTTGTTTTGTAGGACAACAATGGAACGATAGAAAATGAAGAATTAAGAGGATTCCTCAAAGATCTCTTAGAATTAGTCAAAAAAGTAAGTTTCGACAAATGTACACAGTATTTGTTAGAACATAAATTTTTCAGTAATTTAAATAAATAAAATGTATATTTACTTTCTTTTTCTGCAATTTTCTGAATTATCTTTCAGGATTACGATGCCCAAGACCTCCTAGACTTCGAAGAAACCATCCTAAGAGGAGTAGACTACAACCAAGATGGCAAAATTAACAAAAAGGAACTAACAATGATTCTCCTAGCCATCGCCAAACATAATCAAGAAGAAGACTCATCATCAGCATAAATTTACCTTTATCTAATTGTACTTTAAGATAAGTTTGAAGTTGCCAATCTATCAAATAACATAGTGAAATTTTCAAGAGATGTGTTAGACTAGATTTAATGTTTAGAATCTACATGTGACACCAATGATGACGAATAATTTTATAGTTGTCCATTTTAACGATATATATTGTTGTCCCTTTACCATTGCAAACGGCGTTACATTTGAATAAAAATTGTCATATGAGCTCTGGGTTCAAATTCAATCACAAACAGGAATTTAAAAATTTAATCAGTATCATAACTGAAATAATTATGAGCTTAAATAATTTTTTCATTGAAAGAATTGCAAAAATAAAATACTAGTCATTTAGATTTTTTTCATCGCTGTGATTCAAACAATCCTGAAATATTTTTTATCAAAATCTAATAAGTATGTTCCTCAAAACCAATTAATTTAATTTAATCTCAACATAAACGAGTTTGTTATACATCATCTTCCTAAAATACAGTGTGTTACAAATATGTAGGTCTAGCCATTAACCACGTTATTAAATGAAAATAATTGGTCTAGCCACATACCATTTTTTTGGCGCCTCTTCCAAATACAAAGCGTAAAAATCAAAATTTGAAAAGAAATTTTCATTGGTAATACCTTTGTATTTTAATATATTCAATTGAAATTTTGTACAGATTTGTATCGAAGCACAAACGAAGGAAAAGGGATCAAAGCAACTATTCGTCCCAGCAATTTCTTCGAGCGCATGCATATAGTTTAAATAATTTGTTCGTCATTGCCTTAAATTTTTTTACTCTTTTAAAATTTTAATTTAAAACTTGCTTTTTAAATAATTGGATATGCGATGTGAGTATTTATATTTGTTGCCCTTAAAAAAAATCCGTACTTTGAAATATGTTTTGAAGAGTTTTCGTTAAACTTTTACTTAATTTACTTAATCTAATTAGTCTAAATTTAAAAAATTAGATTGATTTAAAATTGAGTTTTAAGTTAGTGGCCTTCCAGCATTGGAACTTTAAAGCAGGAGTGTGCATTTGTTTTCTATTAATGAAAAAAAAGACCGAAATATGCTGCAAAATTAATATTTTTAGTCTTCAATTCCTTTCTCATAATGTTTAAAAATTTTAATTAAAGAGATAAATTGACAACCAAAACTGGACATATCAGAATCGATACAGCTTAAGAATATTTTTAGTAAGTCCACCTTTTAAGAGAAATGAGAAATCAAAAATCCACAAATGAGTCGATGAAAATAATAAACTACTTTTTTATAATTTACTGATTTTATATTTGAACAAATTGTAATGTTATTTATTAAGGAAACAATTTCTTTTCTAATGTTTGTTATTTTTCATCTTTCCTGAAGATGGCATAATAGCCGAAACTAGTTGAAAAGAAAATTAAAAAACATTTATACTGAACTAAAAAGAACTATATTTTTCCCGTTTATTCCTACTATTCACTATTATAATGAATTTTCGTCAAGAAGGATATAATAGGGATTACATTCCATTTTTCTCCGTTTGTGCTTCGATTTTTTTTCTTAAAATTGTACAAAAAATTTACCGAAATATACTATAAATCTGTGCAATATTTCGATTGAATGTCTTAAAAATATCACTTATTAGTGTAGTAGTAAATAAAAACAAGTATAAGGAAAGTTCCATTATTTTCATCTAAAGATTCTGTGTTTAACGGCCTGACCTACTTTTTATAACACTCTGTATACCAGTGCCTATTTCTATGTTCTTGCTGTATTTGGTACACACGTATTTCTAAATACTATTTGAATATTCTTCTTCTTAATGGTACGATTGTACTTTTAAAATTCTCTTGAACAATACCAATCACAAGTCAAAATTAGAAATTCCTTAGAACATGTTAAGAGAATTAGCAGTCATCTTAAATTATCAAAAATGCATGTGCTTAGAAAATATAGCTATCTTCTAATCTATATAATTACTCGCTTTAACGATATTAATAAATTAGCAGTATGAACAAATTGTAAGCTTTTCACTGGACACTAATATTCCTGCAATACAAACACTCTTTGCACCTTCTTTTGTATTCAGTGTTATGAAATTGACGAAACTACGTCCAAACTTACTTCAACGTGATTTCAATGCTAGAAAGTTGATTATTTATATTTACTTCCATGTCATTTACTATTAACTTATCACAATTTCTTTACATAATTTTGCAGAGAAGATTCCGCTCAGCAAAATATGTAAAAAAGTTCATATGAACATGGGTCCGCAAGTGCTTCGTTTTCGAGATACATGGTGTTATTTTTTTTAATTGAGTTTTTAAAAGAAACTAGCCGATTTGAATGAATTTTTTACAGTGTATTAAAACAATTACCTATCATACATCAACTGGACCAATTAGATTTGATTCAGAATTTTTAGGGACGTACCCAGCGAGCAAAGCATTTTTTTGTAAAAGAGAATATTACCCGATAGTTTTTCGGTTTTATGTAATATTCACTAAATTTTTAGTGGAATTATCTGAATATTACATAAAAAAACGACGTGCTCGCTGGGTACGCCCCTGAAAATACTGGATCAAGTCTAATTGGTCCAGTTGATGTATGATAATTATTTTAATAAACCGTCAAAATTTCATTGAAATCGGCTAGTGTTTTTTTAAACTCAATTTAAAAAATTAACACCCTGTATCTCGGAAACGAAGCACTTGCGGGCCCATGCTCATATAAACTTTTTTACATATTTTGCTGATCGGAATCTCCCCTAGGCTTTTGTCACTTCAACTCTGAAACACTCGGTACATTTTCGCTTAGTTAGCAGATGTTTGTTGCTAACAGATGTTGCTATGTTAAATGCTTTTTAGGGACTTTTGATTTCTGACTTCTGAAACACTTTAATCGTCAGAAGTTTTCTTATTTTTTTTGTTTAACTTGATCAATAATTCAATTCAAGTGAAACCATTAATCAAGGTTTAAATAACAGTTTCAATGCACAGCCTTAGTGGAAAAAACAACGTAGTCAGTTTCATCACCACTGACGATGTAAAAAATTTAGCATAGTCTTATCTTTCTTTCCAACTCTTTAATGAAAGCAGGTTACCTTACAATGAATAGTCCCTACTAAATATACTCTTATATACTATAGCGTATATCATACCCTGTATCTGTAAGTAGCTGTTCCTACTATTAGATAAATATGTATAGTCTAGGATAAAAATGTATGGGCTGGAATATTTCTAAATGCCAAGATAAGGACAGTGAGTTATGTGAATGAAAGTAATACTCAATAATCAATTCAATTTTTTTATTTTTTCCCTCCTTAAATTCTGCGACTACATATGTGATAAGCAATGTAACCAATATCTTTTGGGTTGAGCAGCCTATGTGTATTACAACTTCTCATTGTCTCTATCTTAGCACGACCCATCTATATCTCTCAAACGAAAAATCTATCTATGCAAATGGGTAAACTAATTTTTGAATCATAGCAATGATAATTTGGTACCACAATATCGAAGTCTTAAGACGTAGTCTAATGACATTTAGAACACCAAAATCTAAGACTTTAGGTTAACAACCCTAGTAATAATCGCTTCAATACATCTCAATACGCACGCACACGTTTAGCACCCCTTACGGATGTTTTCATAACTTTGTAAAATAAATTTATTAACCCTAACTATATGCTCGTTGCATGTTACTTACTGTAATTAAGGAATATATTTGTACTAACAATATATCGTTGTTGCCCATAAATAGAATATTAATAAAGGAATCAGGAAAGTGAACAAATATTTAAAAGAATGTTTAATATCTCTGAGAGGTGCTTTTATTTTAAAAAGGTACAAAAACAGGTTGTCACGCAAATTAAAAACAGTATACATTTTTCGTCAATTTTGTCTGTCAGGAAATATGTTGGTATGTTAATGTAATATGTTTTGTAAGGCCTAAAGAAATGTATAAATACTTCAGTGCTGCTCCTAAGAAATAAACTATCTAAAAGAACTAAAGAATGTCCTAAAAGTAACGCAAGAACTGAATTATGCAATTTTCATTCTGAAGAGTTGGCAGCATTGTGCAGAGTCATAAGTTGTAAACACATTGCGGTTAGATAAAATGGAGCGCTATACGACGGATGAACTAGTGAAGATCCTGAAAATTTTTTACAAGTACGGAGAGTATGTAGCTGAGCCTGTGCCCAAATTTGAAATTTTCCGTAGAAGGAACGCCCCGAATGAATATCTGCATTTTCATCATTTTGTTAAAATCCGCTACATTGTAGGTATACTGAGGTTACGGGTATTTTCGCTACATTGTCACTCACCGTAACAGTATTTTTGGCTGAGCGGCCAGTACGAGACCAGACTGTTATTTTATTGTCTGCAACCGAACCTGTTTGTTCTTTGACAACTGATCTTTTTACAGTTGTTTCATTCGAGCCGTTCCTTCTACCGAAAATTCCACGTAATTTGCGCATAGTCTCAGCTACACACTCTTAGTTCTTGTAATAAATTTTCACAATCTTAACTCGCTCATCCAACGTATAGCGCTCCATTTTATCTAACCGCAAAGTGTTTACTACAACATGCGACCTTGCACAATACTTCCACCTCTTCGTAATGAAAATGGCACACAATTCAAGTCCTGCGTTACTTTTGAGACACCCTTAATATCTCCAATAACAATGAGTATATTAGTCATTAAAATACTATCAAGACTATCACAATTATTTAACGAAATTGCAATTGTTGTGAAATTAGTCGTTTTTTAAATATCGCCTAAGCAAAACATTACGGTATCTATAATAATTCGTCCACTTTACATATTTGTGTCCTTTAACGTGCATTATTGTATGTGAACTTTGTGAAGAAATATTTCACTAAAAATATTCTCTCCTTACCTTCAGAAAAGTGATTATTTAACATCACAGAAAAATCTATTGAAATAACATTATGCGAGTAACGCGCATTTGCATAATTTAAAATTTTTGAAGCATTTTTTAATGCTACATAAAATTCAGTTGTACGTAGAAAACCAAACTTATTTCAATATGTTTTTCTGGATATAGTTTAGCTGAAAACTAAAAATTTTCGTAATTATTTATAAGTATATATTTTTGTACTATTATCGTAGTTCATTTAGTTTATGTAACGATTCTTGTGAATTGCCTTAGTCTGTTATTATATAAGTATAAACCTCAAGGTAGAGTTTGAAACATAGTTAAAATGTATAAAACTGAATACTTGCGCATAACACCTGCATATTGCATTACAAATAAAAAATAA